CGCGCTTCCTCAAGTTGCACAATAGGCCTGGTGATGTTGCTGTTGTACTATAGTTATTAAGGGCAATGGCTCATGGAGGCCAATTTTTGGGGATCATGCTTATGATGACTTTTGATCAGCATCACATTAATCATCTATTTCCAAAGTTTCAGCCAATTTCACCAAAATCCACTATCCCACAATAGTATAATATTAAAATAACACCTTATTTTGACTTTTGAGCAATGATAGCATCTAAAACGGTTGATTTTTATGAATATTGCCTTTGTGACTTTTGATCAGCATCACATAAACTATTTATTTCCACAGTTTTAGCTAATTTCACCGAAACTCAAAATATGATTATGGCGGGGTTCTTTAAAAGATAGTTAAAGCAGCGAAGAATATAGAAAAATGATACATTAATCCTCGGTTGTCACATCTCTTTTTTTGAACACGTTTGTCACACGGGGTCAATTTTACCCCAACCAATTTTTAAGCAGCTGCTGTTCAAAAACTAACAGTTTAAGTGGATCGCAAAAAATTCTAGAATTAAGTTTAAACATTTGTAGAATGTATTTTCATTATAAAAAATTAACTTTTTGAATGGCATCATGTTAAAAAGAATCCTTAAAAAAAAAGTGTTTGGAAAAAAATCACAATTTTCATTTTTCAATGTCTTTTGCTTAAAATTTTGCATAGTACTCTTAAGAGATATGTTACTTTAATAAAATTAAAAAAAAAAGTCTGGGGTCGCTTTGACCCCGAGTGACAACCGAGGGTTGATATAAGAATATTATAGTTAGGAGCTAAAAGTTACATCTTTGCGATTTAAAAGTACAATATATGAGATGGAAACACAAAAGACGTAATCATAAATAAATACATTCAAATTTAATCACATTTCACAGAAAGCGACGCTAGGAGACATGTTATTGGACGAAAGGCTGTCATTAACGTTGGACGAGATTGTGCATATTCGTAGCGTGCTTACAAAAGCTGAGTTGGAGTCTCTTCCCGTGGAAGGGCGCGTAAAAGAAGATGTAGAGAAAAGACGCGTTTGTTTTCTCTGTCTGAAAACACGCTTCGGTTTACTAGGTCCTTGGGGACAACGTTGTCGCTTATGCAAGAGGACCGTCTGCGTTAAATGTTATTCGAAAGTTAGTATACGATTTTTGCATACATTAATATAAATTTCGATTACAATTAGAACAATTAACATATAAATGTGTAATTTGAGCTATAGCTACAATTATATGAAGTATCTATAAATTAACGAAAAACAAAAAACATTTATATTTTTAAAACATTTATATTTTTGAAGATAAATTGTATTTTAATTAATAATTAAAAGTCACATTAATTAAATTTTAACTATCAATTTGATTTCTTGAGGCTTTTGGCTTTGGCGAATTATTGCATATTAGATTTAAAAAAAGTAATATCATATTGTAAATTTTTATCTTGCACTATACGATTTAAACTGGCTGAATTTGACTTAATTAATTTTAGGCTATTATATTGAGTTCTTTTTCTTGACGTTTGAATTTATCTGAATATTAATATAACTTAGTAACGACATTTTTCAGATGCGAATACCAACGGAACAGTTTGCTCGAGTGCCAGTCGTGTTACTCTCTCCTGGATTATTACTTTCGCCTACAGAAGCTGAGAACAGTAGTAGCAAGAATTCCTGGCTAAGAAATTCAGGAGCGGTCGGCTCAGCACCGGCTTCCCCCGCGTCCAGACGAAAAGATTCTGCGTTGCGCAACGACACGTCTGCCTCAACGCCGACAATGACACCTGTCTCCGCACTGACACCTATGTCGACACCACCTTCTCATGCGCGTCGAGAGATGGAAGTTCAAGGACTAGAGAAGAGGTCAGGATAACAACATTCATATGATAACAACTACTACGAAACACTTGAATTTTATGAATTAAGAAGAACAATGTACTGACGGCATTGAAAATCTATAGTTTACGTCGCGTATGTTATAGATTTTTGATACTGTCAGTACATTTCGAAACATGCTCAAAGAAACGTTCAACATAGGTTACAAGGACAAGCTGAAAATTAATATGCGCATGCTGAATATTTTGAGAAGGAAATATATACGTCTTTATTTCAGCTATACGCCAAGAAAGGACTTGGTTTACATTTCTTACTTAAAACACGCATCCATCCACACATCATCCATCTTTCTTCTTTACATACAAGCCGCAATACATTGTTATTTACAACGTTATATATAAAGCTGTTTCCATTACTGCTCCTACTCATACTCCTTCCCAACTTCCTTATTTTTCTTTTCCTTTATCCTATTTTTTTTATAGCATTCCTTTCTCCTTTTCCATAATCTATTTAACACCTTTCCTTTTTTCATTCTAAATTTGTATATTCTCTAATCTTTCTTTGTTATTCCTACCTAGATTCTTAAACCACATACTTGTGATATTGCACTCGCTTATATAATGATCTAAGTTGTCCCTACCTATCTTGCAGAATCTACACTTCGTATCTTCTTCGTCCAGCCAATATTTATTTGTATCCTCTAAATTGCCGCACCTTAATTTTACCATCGCTCTAATCTCATCTCCTGTTTTTACTTTATCCAAGTTTTCTTTTAATAAATAACTGGGTGTTTCGTTTCTCACCTCTATCTCTTTGTACCTTGTATTATACCTTGCCTCTGCTATTTTACTGTTTATTATTTGCCCTCGAATGTCCTGTTCCCTTATTCTTACTAAGCCTTCAGTATTTTTATCTTCATTATTTAATTCTTTTATTACTTCTGAGCTTCAACTATTGTTATTATAAAATCTTTCTCGTTCCAAATTATATAAATCCTTTTTCTTTTTAGCCATTATGTTCTTTTCATCCCAACATGCCTTTACTAAACTTCCGTCTTTTTTCTCTCTGCTTCTTTTCTCGTACGTTTCATATTAATATTACATACCTTAGTGTGCAAAAATTTAGTCTAAACACCCATCTTACATAATCCATCATGACTTTTTCCAATTCCTTTTTTTCATTCCACCCCCATATCTCTGCTCCATATTCCATTACACTTTTCACTAGGTACTTAAAAAGCGTCCCATCTCCTATTAAAATCATCTTTGCATAATCTTTCTCCTAAATCACAAACCCTATTTGCAGTGATCCTTCCTTTCCTATTTAGTTCTTTTATATGCTCGGCATAATTACCTTTCCTATTAAACGTGAATCCCAGATATTTGAAATTTTCTACTTCCTTTTGAGAAGGAAATAAAATAAAGATGCATGCGCAGTGTTCAATAATTATAGTCTCTTTCTATAAACATGAACATGTTTTGTTTCCTTAATTTAAAGCAGTTTCCGATCAGTACGCGTTAACATGGAATCAGACGAACGTGCTATATATTAAAAAGATTAAATCGATGAGCAATTTGATCTTTTAACTGGCGAAGAAATTTAGCAGAAGAAATCAGCTTTAGCGGAATTTACCGCCGTTTGAAGGTCATTTACGGTTAGTAAACTGTTGATCGGAATACGATAAAGGGCTACTTCGACCACGGTCTTACACACAGGTCTGGAAACTCGCTCAATTTTAAGTGGTGGATGTAGGTCGCTTGTAGAGTCCCTATATAAGAGTCTGGCCACTGAGTGGACTCACGCGTATTGACTCAAACAACCTTTTGTAACAAAATGGCGAAACCAATTAGAATGCGACTACAGTTCCCTTCTCCTTCTTTTTCTTTAGGTTAAGGCTGGCGACTACAGTCTCTGAGTCCTTAACTCTAGATGCTAGAGTGACTCTAAGAGTCCCTGTATAAGATGCGAGACGCCATTTTGTTACAAAATAGCCTCAGTGGCCAGACTCTTATATAGGGACTCTAGTCGCTTGCGGAAGATGCATTTAATTTCTAACATAGCCACTACTCGTCGCTATCGTCGATGTCCGCAGATGAACATAACCTGAAAACCGGAGATAGTTGTTTCAGATCGTCTTCTTCTTCTTCTTTTTATGGCCTTCGAGCTGTACAGCTCCAAAGATGGCCAGGGCGAACCACTTGTCGTAGAAACCGCAGGCGGTTTATCTAGTCAATGTCGCGGGCCACGGACGGCGCAGCTTCAAGAAAGTAAACCGGACGGCGGCCACCGCGCGCGACGACACGCAAGTCCGGGACGAACGTAGTGTTACGGCCTTCACTCCCTGCGCGGGAAGGAGGTTAAAGCGGGGAGCACACACTTTTGCACAACGCATAATGCGTAAGCATAAAAAAATTGATTGGTCTATTTCCTTATGCACATGTGTATGGACCAATCAATTTTCTTATGCTTACGCATTATGCGTTGTGCAGAAGTGTATGCTCCCCGCTTAAGGCTGAAGGTCCATAGACTTACAAACAGCAAGAAGGAGGCGAATGAAATGATGAGTAGGATTACATAAGAAAGGAAGAATGTCACTAGAGTGAGGAATAGATTCCTCCATATATCTGACTAAGCGCGAGGCTTTATCGGAGTACAGAGAGCAATTAAAAATGACGTGATTCATATCTTGTTTGAGATTGCCGCAAGGGCATATTAAGTATTAAATTCTGCGTGTTTATTTCTATTATTAGTATGTAGCTTTAAGTTTGCGACAGAGCGTCGATGGAAGAGCGCCATAATGTGTTCCATGCGGGCGCGATTGTATGTGTGTAGCATATCTATTGTTTTTCGCTCAGTGCTTCTTCCCGCGCGTACTTCCCGCTAATTCTTCCGCCATCTCTCACACGTATTTTATATACACCGTTATAAGTCTCAGTTCTTTTGCTATTATTGTTACTTTCGCTATAATAAAAGTGATCAATACGGTCAACAGTCCTCTAGTTATTCCTTCGCTCTGTACAAGTGCATACTCCTGAGATCCAGGAAAGATAATTTCAACAGGGCATACACCGGAATCTATTATATTTTTCCTAGCTAGGCTATGATTTAGGTTGTAGTGACCACTGCGCAGTCTATTAATTGAGATTCGTTGTGCGTCGTGTCGATGGGATCTCGTCTTACAGATCGCTCTGCACAGATCATTCTCTTTGCCTTATTTTCTTATTATTCGGTTTGACTGCAATGTATTTTTTCTCCAGACTAACTGATTTGGACCTTTTAGTCTTACTAAGTTTCTGTCAAATTGAAACAGTAAACTCACCATGTTAAAGGAGAATATATATTTTTGATGTTAATATTATACCACTGAGGATGGCTCGGACAGGAGCCGAAACGTTTGGATTTTTGTAAATCGAAGAATAAATCACATTTATATTTAAACGCACCTGGATCCGCGTTGTGACCCTTATAGCCCTTTCTACTTATATTTTTAATTAAGATTATTTCTTTACGCTTAAATGGTTTTTTATGAAACCAAGGACGGTCTTTACCTGTATGAAAATTGTTATAAAAATAGATGCCTTTGAAAGAACCGCAACAGCGTAAATACTCGCTAACCCGTTTACGGAGGGTTTCCCTAGCAACTGAATAGAAATCAGAGTGCGGAATTTTAAAATCAGGAACATAGCCTCTTCTCGAGGCGGTTTTAGCAGTTTTGTCTGTGATTTCGTTACCAGAAATACCCCGGTGGGCTGGGATCCAAATTAGACGAAGGTTGGTGCCTTTGGTCGAAAGTTGATATGCTTTCTCCTTAACTCAAGGGACAATGTAATTCTGCTGGTTTGCCGCGTTCGAGCAAACGTTCTCCAACACGCTTTTGGAGTCCTAAAAGATTACAACCTTTTCGAAGTCTTGCTGCCAGATAATGATGAGCGCCTGAAGGAGGCCCAAGCCTCAGCAGAGAAAATGGTGGTCTCCATTGGCAGTTTGTGCATGACCTGGATCTTTAATTCTGGCGAATATATACCTGCGCTGACGAATCCCGAATCATCCTTAGAGCCGTCCGTGTAAAACGTGATAGCGTCCTTCCTTAAATCTTTCGTACACTCTAGGAAGAGAGAATTCACATTTTGTATGTCCGGATGAAAAAGTAAAGGTGTGTACTGAATATTGTGGATCAGTGATAGGAAACTGTGGCTGAATACCGGCAAAGATACGGTTTGATGAACTTTGCTCGTCTTGCCGATGATGGCATGGAAGTACCTGAACGAGGGGATGATCTTGCAAGCCTTCTCACAGTTGCGAGGAGATCTGGTGAGCGGGATCAGCTCGTCTAAACTGATGGTAACCGGACTAAACTCCTGCGCAATATTCTTGAGGACCAGTTTAGCAGTCAGGTAATTAAATCTGTGGTGCAGAGAAGGCTCCTTGGCCTCATTTAATAAGACATTTATCGGCGTGGATTGCCGGTAACTGTAAGCAATACGAATAGCCTTATATTGTATTCTTCAGAGTTTTTAAAAAATGGTCAGGTTACCAGACAATTGAAAGACTTGACAACCGTAATCTATATTGCTCCTAATGATGCCTTTGTATAACATCATAAGATGTTAGGGATGGGCTCCCCACCAAACCCCCGACCAGAGCAGACATAATGTTGAGAGCTTTTCTGCATTTGATTATGACATGAGTGAAATGCGCTTTGGAGTCGATGAATATGCCCAAAAATTTTACTACTTTACTATAGTTGATTCAAATCACCGTTGATAACAATGTCAGGAAGAGGCAAGGTCCTTTTACGTGAGAATATTATTGCTTGAGACTTGGCCGACGAGAGCGAAAGTCCTTTGCTTGAGAGGAAGGCTGAGATTTTCTGTATTGACTCGTTAATGGCTTGTATGACCTTGTCGAGATTTTTATCGGTTGAGTAGATAACAATGTCATCGGCATACAATAATATTTTGCAGTTAGTAAGAACATTGTCGAAAGCGCCGTCGATGTCCAGAAATGCAGCCGCCGTGTAAGCTCCTTTAAGGAAGCCCGCCTTGATGTCATTAGTTAAGGCTATGACACTATCCAAACATGATCTAGCGTTCCTGAATCCAAGCTGAGCATCAGAGAGCAGGTCATTGTGCTCGAGGTGCGACCTTAATCGGTTATAGAGGCACTTTTCCAGAATTTTAGGGATGCAGGAAATGAACGAGATTGGCCTTACTTCTTTGCCGCCAGGCTTAGGTATAAATATTAAGAGCGACGTGTACCATTCTACCGGAAAGGAT